GCCCCGCCCATCGAGAACACGCAGTTGGCTAAAGCGACGCGGCCAACGCATCGATTGTTTGGTAAGGATCATTCAGAGAGATTTTGGAGCAGTTCTACCTTTTTACAAGAAGGTATTAGCAACAAGGACCAACATTAGGCCCGAACAGCTACTAGGTAAAATAAAGCTGCTTTGTTTCGCCGCTCACTGAGATACACAGCATATCCCTAGCTGTTTATACCGACGCTCATTCGATCTCCAGAAGGTGTACTTCAACCGTGACCACGGACGGACGTGAGCCCAACTGGCTCGTGGCCAGAGACATCTCGAATCGATGCCGTTGTCAGCTGGCCTGCACCCTCCAGCGCTGCGCGTAGTCTATCGCGGTCGCCAATGGACCCGACGGGCAATGCCCAGTGGTGCAGGCTCACTTTACACGAGCCTCTTTCGGTCATCAATTACCTTTAGACCGACTGGACATCCGCTATTTACACACATGACTGGAGTCACTTACGGTAACCACGGAATCGTATCAGAACCCATATCTTTCTGGGGATTGCCATCATTTTCTTGTCATTGTCTGGACACTCTTCTCGCTTTATTGGCTACACACATGCCAGTCTTTTTCCCCTACATATGGAGGCATCTCTAGCACTGTATTTCGATGAGGCATAACATTGCGGTAGCAACGCGGGCAATTTTGACCCGAAAGGTTTCATCTGTTTTTTACATTTTAAATTTTCACAAACAAACTCTACTGCTGAAGCATCGACCGCAGCATTGTCGTGCAATTTTGTGTGAACGCCTACAGCAACTAATTTTTCTCCAAAATTGCGAAAATTAGAACCCCTCAGTTTCCATAGCGGACTATTGCCTTTTCGCAACACTTGCTACTCAAAAATGAGGTAGCAGAATTTTTGCCCATCTTCATAGGTTATCGAACTGGCATCATTTATCGAACTGGCCGGTGTTAACAACCCATTTGTGATAATTCCGGTGAAATTGCGGGTTTGTGGTCAAAAAAAGGCGTCAATTGGCGCAATTGACATGGTTTAGTGCACTCGACACGACGAATCTGACGCCGTATCCTTTCCCTTCTGTGTTTTTACAAAGACTTTATTTTTTTTGCCGGAAGCATTGTTGGGACTTCCCCTGAATTGGTGTTCTATGCTGTTTCCATCGAAAAAAGCTAGAAGGTCCCAGATTTGGAAGGCGAGCGCTTCCTCTTGAATGTCCTCTGCCTGCCATTCATGTGATCACTCACTCATTCATTGCTTTACAAGATTGGCAAAGGATTAGCGAACTGCAAAATACCCCGCTTCGCCCACCAGCCAAGCTGCGGCTCTTTTTTGCTTTGTTTATTTTCTATCGCTTTCTTTGTCAAAGTTTCTGGGCACTATTGACTCACAACGAATCCAATGCGCCTGGATGTAAGCAATTGAGCGTGGCGCTGTCGCTGTAGCGTCGGATATATTGTGATAATCGGATTTTGGTGTTACACACGAGGCCTATTGAACTATTCCTGCGCCAAAAACTGAAAAAAAATTTCGCGAAACGTTGCTATAGTGTAGATTCGATGTCCTGTATCACGAAATATCAGCATTGTTTAGCGAGGCGCTGGCGTCATCTGGCCCATTATTATACGGCCAATTTGGGCCCACACGACGTTTTTCACGCAAGTCCGTTTGAAAACTTGTATATGATTACGAATCCGACATTCACTTTTAGCGTTGGCGCTATTTGGCGCCATTACGCGCCAATTTGGCGCCAAATGGCGCCAGCGTTCGAAACCAGTGTGATATTCGTGATCAGGATGTCGATTAACCCCCATATGCAAGTTTTCATCAACTTTGGTGAAAAAAGTGGTGGGCGCCAAATTGGCGCATAATGGCGCCAAATGACGCCAGCGCTCGAAACGGATGTGATATTCGTGATCAGCGCATCGAATTACATCTATAGGCAACGTTTCAGCGAAAAAATTTTTTTGAGTTTTTGGGGTAGGAATAGTTCAATAGTGCCGATCTTTCATATGTTTCTTCCCAAATCGGTTGAACCTGGTCACAGTTGTGAGGTGGAGGGGCACTCGGTGAGACATGCTAATTAGCGTGGAACTATTGAAACTTCACTAGTCCGATGTTTTCTTTGGAAATTCCAGTTTTCCTACGGTTAAACCGCTTTGCGACCGCGCGCGGGAGTGTAGGGTGTGGCCATATCCCGTAGATGGAGATAGTGTGGCTTCACTCTGTCTTGTTCTTAACAAATTGAGACGACAGGCGTCCCAGAAAATGGTAGGAACTAAACGGCAATAATCCCGCGATAGTCGCGTCGCTGCAGCGTTCACGTGAATGGTGCAGCCACGCCACATTGCATCTCTGAGATATGGAGTATGATCGTTGGTCTTCATAAGAGAGTTTAAATCTTGGTCCCTCCCTTGTTTTGAAGTCTTGGCCAACAACTATATTCCATCTCTCTCTTAATTCAATCATTGCTGGCAGCCCTTTTCAGTTTTCTGCTTTTTCTCCGTAAACATGCCCCACGTTTCGTCTCAAATGAGGCGCATCGGAGCCAACTTGCCTCCGCCTGTGCCCGCCCAAGCCCATAATGAGTTCCCGTTTCTCCTGAGCCCTGACGTAATGGTCCGTGGGTTTTGGCGCCGGTGTTTTGCTGCGTAATATGGTCGCTGTGAATGTTAATCAGATGGAAATATTGCTTGCCAAATGCTCTGAATAACTCCATAACGCGCCGACATTTCGCTCGCCAACGATGATTGAGGTTGTTTTTTTTGAATTTTACTCAACACTTTCGAATTAACTAATCAGTAATTGCACATTGAATAGTAAAGAGAAAAGCGGCAATGTTTTACTACTGAGATTCAGTTCTTTCGTGGTTTTGTCCCCCCCCTCCCCACACAATTCATGAAAAAATCGGGGACTTGACCTCTGATGATATTTTTATTCATAGTAAATATTTCTGCTTCATTTAGCCATATAATTGAAGGAATCCCCTCCATCGAGCAAAGTCAACTCAATGATAGACTGCTTGGCTTTTATAACCCCAAGCGCTGTTCGGCTTGGAGGGGAGGGGGTGTTGAGATGCTACTGGTTTTTCTTACACCTGTAAACTCCTGTGAAGCTTCGAAATGGGCGAGGTGAAACTCCTTGTTTATAGGAATGTGCAGGTCGTCACAAGGTGACTTATGTACGACCTTAGCTGAGTACGACTCGGTCCACCCCTCCCCTAGTAACTGTGCCATATAAAAGTTTTCCGTTGGCACTGAAACTTCCTGCATCATGGGTTTTTCCCGTGTCCTGATCACCAGTGTGGCATTCATTTGTGGCGCTAATGAGCTAGAGATGTGAGACGCCAAATTGGCGCGAAATGGCGCCAGCGCCAGGATGTCATATCAGTGCATTACACATAGGTGTGATGCAGTTGAGCGGGGCTACGCGATAGCGCCTTTTGCTGACCAAGGCTTAGGCTCAGACTGCAGATGATCCAGCGGGCAGCCATGAAGTTTCGTTTCACTGCGCTGTCCTGCTGCGCCTTCATGGTGTTATCTGGCGTATGCTCATCGTCAACACATTGTACTTTCGCGTATGGTGAATGCCCCTAAAAAGCTCATCCCTTGGTTTGCCACAGTTCTTTCCTGCCTTCCAGTACTTTGGCAATCCTCTATTCTTTCTTTGTCTGCTCTATCTCTACGCAGTTCTGGTCGTATGCATTCTAGGCGTAAGCCTCGTGGGAAGATTTGTTGGGGGAAGAGACGAAAAGGCACGGTTGTTTGACCCCTGCTCGACTACGTTATCGCCGTGACCTGCTGTGGATAAATTTTCAGAGAAAAAGGTTTTATTCCTGTGAGGTGAAGGGTGTTGGTGCAGTTGTTTGGGCTGATTACGGTAATCTTGGTCCTTTGAAGCTAGAAGCTTCATTATACGGGAGCGCCTTTCTACGATTTTTTCAACTCTCCCCAAGAAAACAACGACTTCAAAAGCTGCAAGGTGCGAAGGAACGGTTGTGGAACGGAGGACCTTAGCCCAGGAGGGTGAGAATTTGAGCCAAGGCCTAACGTAGGGAACTGATTTGTGCAGATATTTTAGGTATTACTATAATTTTAAACGTAAATTATGACGGGAAATGTTTGTCGCGGTTTTAAATGCCTTTAATGCTCCCTATCGTGAATGCAGTTTCGAATGAGTAAAATTCTAATTCAGGCATTGGTCGATTAGAGCCCATTCTTTCCATATTCACAATAGGGGTGAACCTGTAAGCATGCATCGAAATATTTTGGAAAATTTGCCTAAGCGTTCAGTATCGGTTTCCATTATTTTCGTTGGCCGTGCCCTGTGGGTTCCAATAAGGCATGTGAGTTCCAATAAGCCAGTAGAAACTAGAATAGGGTGCTGTTCGACAAGGGAGGGGCATTTTGCACATTCACGACTACCCATCGTTGTGTGAGCCATAAAGAAGGGATTTGTGAAGTTTTGTGAGGCAGTGAAAAGATACCAGTCAGTATTGTAAGGACTTCTTGTCAACTCTTGTAAAGAATACTTGTCAGCTCTCGTAAAACAATGACCACGTCGCTGGGGAGTAGGAAAAGAATTCCCCCCCCAAGCCGAAGTGCCGCCAGAATAGTTATATCTCATTTGCAATCCACCACTTACTATGTACGTTATGAATTTGCGACGCTTGCAGTTGGGGAGTGGGGGGGGACAGGCGGCGCAGCCTCCTTGTCTGTTCCCCTCTCCAAAGTATGGGCTTATAAGCAGAGCACAGACGACAAAAGTTGCCGTTCGGTCTTTCACTTGATAGACTAGGCGCAGTGAGCGAAAGGAAGTTGGCATGGCCGCATGCCCCTCCCAACCAACGATAGCCTAGAATTTCGTTGAGTTTTCAGATGAGCATCCGTTGATTTCTTTAGACTCGCCTAGAATTTCGTTGAGTTTTCAGATGAGCATCCGTTGATTTCTTTAGACTCCATATTTCAGTTACAGAGTTGGGATAATGAACTGCTACGTGAATTTATGATACCATTAAACGCACCGCATCCTCTGCAGAATGGGCATTCACCGTCAACGATGGCCTCATTCACGACTGATCATTTTAGCGCCACGAATTCGTCGTGGAATAGTAATCAGGTACATTTTTCAATCTCTTTCTACTTTTTTATCCATCCTATTTTAATTCTGTGAACTTCTATCGATGTTTGTTATTTTTAAGTTACCATTTTGCCGTTGCTGTTCACCTGTGACGACCCATTTTTCGATTCCTTATAAGTAGAATCCCTTTCGCTGCTAGTTGATGTGAGCCGCACGACAGCGCAGATACCTCACTGCCCCTGTTCGAGGCTTACTCTCGGAGCGCAGACGACTAGAGTCGCTGAGGGGTAGTCCCGCAGGAAGGCAATATCTGTGCCACTCTAGCCGTCTGCGCTCTTAGCCTAAGTCTTGGTTATGGATAAGGAAGCAGAGATGCTGCCGCCCGGCCCACTTCTTAACTGTTAGAGAAAGCCCTTCCCTGTGTAGGGTAGTCCAGCTCACAATGTCAGAGGTTTCTAGTGGCTTGACAGTAATGACAAGGCCTTTACGGCCGCCATTAGGAAAGCCCCCCCCCGCCAGAACAGGCCATCTATATCGAGACGAGATATGCCAGCGGTCTATCTATATACACAGGTGTGACGGGCATTTCATCCTTACTGATATAAGGGCGCGGTTCGGCTTGGTGGGGCATGTTACTGATTCCTATCGGTTTCTGCCGATGCCTTCTATAGAGCTCTGGAAATTCCTGTCAAAGTATGCAGCCAGCAACATGACCTTTGTTTAAACTTCACGAAATGCAAATACCTCAACATGGTTAGACATGTAGTTTAACAAGAACTAGCAAAAGTGCGAAGTGCCCCCCCCTCACCTCAACAGGATACCAGGTTACAGCGTCGGGATGGGTGAAGTAAAGTCCGACGACCACCCCTCTCCAAACTTTCTTCTCCCGGTACGACCCTTCCCCCCTTCTTCATCCTACTTATCATCATCTTAAGTTTTCGCAACTTACTTGCTATCTCACAACCTTTTACTAAAGTTTCAAGAAGAATTTTCTAGCTCTAAAAGAATGCGGTATGGGGAGGGGAGTGGGTTGCGGAGCTAACTATTCGAATCGATTTCTGTCGATACCAAATTCGACCCCATGGTCGGCTAACTTGATACAACTAGTTTTTTTGATTCAGCGAATAATCACGTATATTTCTGAGGGCGCGATATCGGAAGGGAAACCTTTTTTGCACTTTCACGCTGGGCGAATCAATGGGAAATTGTTCAGCTTTTTTCCAGGAAATTGCTCGATTGTTGTATTCCGCTCCAAGCCATCCGGAATGGATAACGCAGCAAGTGGCCATTCGACCTCAAACGGGGTATTTATTCATTCCATTAGATTGCCTTTTCTATTTGTTCACCTTCTTTTGCATTTCCGTCCCATCGTAATGGTGGGCCATTTTTCAGGGCGCAATATATGTTTTGTCGCTTTGATGGTAATTGGTTCAAGATGGACGGGTACGAGTGGAAGAAACGGCGAGAAGGAAAGCTCATACGAGAGGACCACATGAAATTGAAGGTTAATCAGCACACGATCCCAGGTCTTTGGATCTAGAGTCAAGACAGATATGCGAAAAAATTAGTACGGGTAAATGGTATGGGTACTGTGGAGGTTTTGGATTCGTACTGTGCGTTTGCCTGAAAGCTGGACGGATCGCTGCCATATGTGAGGAGAGCATGTCTACGTTGGGAATCGTAGTGAGGGAACATATTTGGTTGCTGTAGAGTATTTGCCTTTGTGAAAAAATGTTGTCGGTTTATGACTTTTCTGGGGTTTTCCTCTTTTGACGCGTTATACTCCCCTCCCCCACGCTCGGGCTTTTTTTTTTGGAAGAAACAGGAGACGTTGCGGTAAGTTGAGAAGATTTGATGGAGCTGGGGGGGGTTGCATTTTGTAAATTTTTTTCCCAGATGGCGGGCGTGCCCTGTGTGGGAGATGAGCAGGTCCACGATCGAAGGAGCTTTTCACTGCTGCCATTCGGAAATGTGCGGCAAAGAAACTGATAGCTTGTAGTAGCCCAATGTTCCTTGTGTCGCCTGCCATTCATTCGCCATAACCCCACGGACGCCACTTGCCTGTTATACGTACAACTATAGCTACTTGTCTGCGCCTTGTCACATATGGTTAACCGTACGAGATACGCCAATCGCCACAAATCCATACGTCATGCGTGATAGAGCGCAAAAAATGGACGTGTTCCGTTTGGCTATAGTAGGACGTTTTACAGAGCGTATGGCGTATCGGTCCGTGTGGCTTATCGGTTGGTGGGCGGAGACATAAATAACACGCAGATATCACACCTCTAGCTTCATTGCCGCGTCAATTTTTTTTGCAAGAGAGGGGGTCTGCTACATCCGAGGGCTTCTCACCTGCTCATTCACTTCAAAAGGATGAATTGCCTCAAGAAAAGTCGCTCCAAAAGTTGAAATCTACGTCTTGCAGGTGAATAAGCAAGAGATCCTTTCTGCAAATTATGCCCACTCGTCTGTTGTTCCAACGTTCCACAGAAGAGTGTACTGGCTAACAAATGTAAGTGATTCATTGGTATTTCTCTTTTTTCGTATTCTTTGATTTCTTTTCTTTATTTTCTTGATTTACAATAAAGGTAGGGGTGGTGTAGTGTCAAGTGGCCACTTGGCACGCTCCAGGTCCACGGGTCGAATCAGGACCAGCCCTGGAACAGGTCAACCAGACTCCTACCCCTTGAAGTCGATGAATTATTACCAGATTCGTCTAGGATAATAGAAATACTGAGTTGTACGTAGGTTATCCCCGGCAAGTCATCGCATAGACCACATCCCGCTCAAATGGCCACTGCGATTCTGAATGGGAGGAAATCTGTGGCGCTTACTAGCAACTGACCCATCGATAACGAAATTTCATATTTCTGGATTCAGAATCATTCGAAAGCTTTCTGAGAGACCAGAAACCGCGTTCATATTAGAAGAGCTCCAATATTCATTCCTTCGGTCACATCTTGAAGGGTTACCGTAATAGAAAGGTGGATATTTATGTCATCGCCGCATGTTCCAAATTATGGGTACGTCCTATTTGTGAAATTTCTGCGCTTGAAAAGGACTCCCATCCATGCTGTGACTTGTGGGACTCTCAAAATAGAAGGACTCATAAGCTAGATGTTTTTCATCACTCGCTCAGTGTTCATTTTGTCGATTAGCGAAATTTCCACCCTCCTCCCCCCCCTCCATCTTACTGTTTTTCTCTGGTTAGCGCCGGGTGTCATTTTACGCGCCATCGTTGTGGATATTACAACGAGAACCGTATCCACTGGGTGAGGGTAATAAAGAAGTTAGGCTGCGAAAGGGGTCGTATGGAAGGATGACAGTGTGGGGGAGGGGCTGCATTGCAGAAATTTTCCACCATACGACGATGTGTCTTGTTTATGTGTACAAGTTCACCTGATCGAACAACTCACCGAACGGCGGTTTTATGGGGGAATTATGAAAATCTCGTAGCTCTGCGATTAGACCGAAGTCCCTAACTTAAAAGACGAATTTCGTGACGTATACTGGAACGTCAACGGCATTCTCACGGCGCCATACAACCGCCTCTTCAACCCCCCCCCCCCCCTCACCCCTTAGCGCCAGTTACAATTGTTGCTGGCAGTTTCAGACGTGGTTATGATTACATCCTTTGCTCGAGCTCCTCTCAAATTCATGACGGCGCGATTCAGCGATGTGACGCGTTTTTGGTCGTTGGGCTGATGGTTCACATTCGAGGAAGTAAAGAAGCGTTCTGGCCACATACACGCGAGAACTGGCTGGCCGTTCATGAGTTAGTCATCGTTGCGTGCAGGTGCTCCAGCTCCTTGGCACGCGATACCGCATTCCTCGTTCTTGTAATGAGAATCATAACTTTAGTAGAGGGTGTCGTCACAGGAAAGGATTCCTGATGAGGTTCTGGAAGGGGGCGCTTTGCTGCCCTTCCCCATGGATCATTGTCAATGCCTTTATGGAGGACCTTCAATTCTACGGAGAGCTTCAATTACACTTGACGAGGGTCTGCAGGTCTTCAGGATGAGAAGATGGGCTAGGAATCAGATGGCGGAAGTCCAAATTCTCCCCTACCCCCTTCCCTCATCCACCACAAACTGAACCAAGAATTCTATTCGAATTACTAAAGCATTCTTATGTTACGTTGATACTTCGCGACGAGGGAATAGAACAATCGGTAGACGTCGCTAAAGGTAAGCATAAGCATGGATCTGGTGACTTGGGAGAATAGGAGAAAAATTGTATTGGCGATTCGACTCTTTGGAAAAACGCGGGTTCTCCCGAAACGTAGAATCGCCGATTTTTCTATACTTATACTCCCGTCGCAGATTATAAACGCAGCCTTACTGTCTAGCTTGTGTCATTGTAATTTTGTTAGAAAAAGCCAGTTTTTCTACAGCTAGGCATTTTTGGGCTGCCTTTCTCGAAGAATCTGAAGTTGGGACTATTCATGAGTAATCATTATTCAGAACCCTGATTATGCACTTGTGCACTACCTTAACACGGAAACCGAAATCAACCTGAAGAACATCATGGACAAGATTTTGGCATGCATCAAATTGAACAGCCTAAATCTCGGCCAACAGCAGCTCTTGGATCAGATTTCTCCTATATGTGAGTTATTTATTTACCTTTTTTAACTGAAGACAGTTGCCGCTCTCAAGCGATTTGTAGGCGTTCCTCCCTAGAAAAAGTCTAGCCCTCACTCTCTAAGATTTCCCCTTTTTGCGACTTGCCAAGAAGTAGCGAAGTTCCTTATAAGTGGCAGTTCTATCCCTCTCTTTAGGTGGCATTACCATTGGATAACGCGAAGAAAAGATTAATGAGCCAGTGAGCCGTATGTCGCTTTGCAGCCATGAAAAGAACAGGTCCTCACAGCTCATGCAGTGAGGCTGTCAGGGGTCTTAAGGATGTTATAGGATTTTTTTTGCTTTCTCCTTCCCTGGAGATCCTCTCGGCGGCTATAAGCTCGTTATTGAAAGCCACTACCCTCAATATGACCCTCGGTATATATGGGTTCGTCTTCAAACGTACTGTAGCACCAATCTTTTACTTGTGGCAGCTGTTGGTGATGAGTATACCTGGTGTTCCATTATTCGATATTCCAGATGCGAATATGTTAAATCAACAAGACATTGCATGCATCTGTGAGAAATTGGGCAATATCGTACGGTATTCTCCATGTGGTAACAATGAGACGCATGAGGGAAAGGTGAGCATTCGTTACATTGCAGTATCTATCTCTATTTGAGCCGCGGCACCTTGGGTTCTTAGTGACGGGAATTGGTAAGAGAATCTGGCCATCGAGCCGAGAGGATACGAGTAGTCCCGGTGGCGCAATGGATAGCGCACTCGCCTGGTCAGCGGGAGATGCGTGTACTAGTCCCTATTAGGGTTTGACTCTTGCTCATAACCAGCGCTCTTGTGGTAATCTTTCTTTACGCTATCAGAAAATCTTCTGGCAGCGCTTCACATAGATGCTTTGCTCTAAAAGGTCTACCTTACTGAACTAGAGCACAAGTTACCAAGTAATGTCTTGCCCCTTTCCCTAGAACTAAAAGAAAACAAAAGGATTCGCTGTTAAAGTGGGATCCGTGGAATTCTTGAAAGAGTCCAGCTGGCTTTTAGTTGCAGGCGTGTTTTTGTGCCTGACAATAAGAGGACTGCTGTCAGTGCAAGGGCATAGATGGCAGTGTGGAGAGCCCAAAAACAGTCTGTTCTATTTATAGCCTCAGATGGGAGCTCATACTGCTGTTGCGACACCGCGAAGTCAACCCATATCGAATCATGGATCTTCGCACCAGTTGGAAAGGCGAAATTCGTGCAGCTCAGCCTTCCGCCCTGGTTTGTCGTCACTAATCCTTCGAAGGCAGCCGTCAACCTTCAGTGATTCAGTGGATGTTAATTATGGAGGTATGTTTCTTCTGTGAATTTTGAATTGGCCTAATTCTTGTGAAAAGGCAAGCTGGTAGCGCCCTGTTCCAGCTGCTCCGGCTCTAAACAACATGATGGACGGAATGGCAGTAAAAGAGCCTCTCACTGGTTACTCGGTTGATGGACGTTCTCACTCCGGAGAGACGCAGCGTAGCAGCAACCAAGATGAGGACATGGTAAGGCTCAAAACGCTGGATTGATAACGATACTTTTTTAGTCGCTAAGAACGCTAGAGAACGCTCAGAATGCTTAAACCCTCCCGTACGCTCAAAAAGCTGACGCAAAGTATGAACGCACTTTTATGGCTCGCGATACCGTGGCGCGATAATTGCGATAATTACGTACTCCTAACAATACTTTTCCAATGTTTATCACCAGGCACCCATGTGCTTAACATTGAAGCAGTATTGCTCTGAGCTCTGGTTCGTTTCTCCGCGGGCTTCGTTGGTCTCGAGGGTTGTGAACATTAGCCTTTTCTGAGGGTTTGCGTTAAATTAGGCTAAATTTCCACAATCTTACTCACGATGCTGACCCTGGTTTGAAACCTTCATTTTTGTTCTTTTCGTTAGAGTTCTAGGTGCTTTGGTAAATGAAAGGTTTTCGATACTCAAATTTTTCCAGTCGATAAGCCTTCAACCGTCTCAGCCCGCTTCGCATTCGTCGCACATTCAGGACAACCAGCCATCGACAAGTCTTGCGCCGATTACGGATATCACACCTAATAGTGGATGTGTCAAGGTTTGTGCTGGTTTTTAGTTATATTCAGGGGTTTCGGTCAGGAGATCCACGTAGCGGCGACGCGAACGAACTACCTAGCAATTCCTCACTAGTTGATTAGGCAGTGCAGTGCATTTATGCTGAACGAGTCGCGTATTTTCGTGGATTTCACGAGCGCGATGCTTCTCGCAATGCAGCCTTCACCGCGTTGCCGCAGCGTGGATCTCCCAAGCGACACCCATTTTTAAAACCACCGCCTCTGTCTGGCTGCTTTTCTTTGGTGAGTTTGATATGAGATAATGGAGCAGTTGTTGTGCCTTACCGCCTCCTGTGCAGTTCTTACTCCTGTTCGGTTACAGGGTGGCACAAAAGTGTTGGTCATTGGTGGATGGTACATGAAGGGCCATGATTATACGGTTATGTTTGGTGAGCGACGTATACCAGCAAGACTGATACAAGTTGGAGTGCTGTCTGTCATTGTACCACCAGGTTGGTCCGCAGCATTGTCTTGACGCCAGCCCTCGCAAGATGGCGTCAGTTTAATGCGTGTCTTGAAACTTGTGGTTGTCTTGAACTACAGATTGATAGTTATTATCCAGTTTACAATTTTCAAGGGATGAGATGGGTCAGGAGGTGCGAGTTGCAGCGACACGCAGAAACTACCTCAGCGCGCACAGAATTTCCTAGCTAGTTGACTCATCTTGCTATGACGCTTTCGCGTAAAGTCGATTGTAGCACCTCATAAAAGAGACGTAGAACAAGCCAAAATACCTTCTTTGACAACTATCAGAAGTTTTATCATCTTGAAATCCAGCAAGCAGAATTGACAAATATTTCCCAGCATCTCTGGTATCTAGAACTTGGGATCTCTGAAAATATTCAACAAAAGTGCAACACTAGACTTGCTCAAAGTTTTGGAGCTGTGTACTTCGGGAGGGGCCTTTCATCTGCAGGTTCATCCGACGTTATGTCAGCCCTTCTGCACCCTTTTCAGGGTGCGTCTTACCGTTCCGGAAAAGTTTTGCAAAATACGACCCTCATCCTCTAGTAAGACTTTCTTCCCCATCCTAGCGTATACTACCTGCCATCTTCCTCGATTTGCCAACTACCTACCAACTTTCCAAGAAATTCTCCAGTCCTCGCCCCCCCCCCCCAAAAGGTAGGGAGGTTGATGAAAGGGCAGACAGGGATAAATAACGTACAGGAAACAAAAAGGGACCATCGGAAAGTTATCTCTCAAGGCAATTTGGTCTTTACCCCTCCAGCGACCGTACAGTCCCACCCGTTTAACGATCAAATATCATCCCACTCGCTGAGGATTCCTAAGGTATGCCGTGCCCTGGCCCTCTTACCAAGAGAACGTGCACACACACTCTGACATGACTGTAGTAAACGTCAGAGCATGCAGGACACATTGCCTAAGGCTTTCGGTACTGTAAGTTTTATGCAACACTACTTGTAACCTGCGCCGCAACTCGGATCTCCTGACCCATACCCGGTCGGTATTCGCCTCAATTGTTGATCAACGATATTCTAATTAATGCTTCTTCCATTCAGCTTCAATGAGCGGTATTGTTCCGGTACGAGTGTTGTGCAACGGTCAAGTAATTTCATCGAGTAGTGAATTTACGTACAAAGAAGAGCAAGATGAGCTTACCGTATCAGCTCTTCGACAGTGCATGGTCGACAGACTTCAAATTGTCGTACATGCCTTCGGAGCGATGGATAAACTAGAGGTAGTGGTCCTTCTTATTTTTCGGTACTGCCATTTCCATGATGCATTATTAAAAAGGTGTTCTTATAGTGGGTGGCATCAATTGATGAAGACTCAGTTTTGTCATTGCTGCGAAGTCTGACTGGACGTCGTCCATCAATGCCGTCGCTACTCTCAGCTCATCCGACGTTACCATCGCGGACGATTCTGCACATTGCAGCTGCTTTGGATTACCACAAGGTTATAGAGCATGTGCTGGCGTGGAGGTAAAATTATTGCTTGTCTTTTGCTTTCCGAATCTGGGGACCGAAGTAGTTTGGGGAGTGAGCGGGGGGCAGTATGGACGCGTATTTCCAGTCGCTGGCTTCGCCAGGTACGAAGTTGACCAGATAGAGAATGGTCGACAGCAGCGCTAGCGCCATGTTGAGTGGGTTGGGTCCTGGTGTTTATGCTTACGTCACTGCGTACGTCACGCTACTTGCATTATTTTGCCACGGCTGGGAAGTAACGCTCCACATTCACTTTGGAAGAAAGCGCGCGGAGGCATGACTGAGTCTGCCTAGGTTTCTCTCCCCTCAACGATTTTGGCCCCAGCATTTATTTTACTGCTCAACGAGTTCTTTTTTTCAAGAATTTAGAAGTGGCACTGTTTTAATTAACAAATAATTATGTTCCAGACGCAACCTGCCATTTAGCCGAGAGTTTGATCCATTAGCTCGTGATGGTGAAGGCCGAACACCTCTTCATATGGCTGTTGCTGCTGGCCATGTGGCATCGGCAAGGTTTGTTTTTTCCCAGTTTGAATAGCAGTGGCACCATTTGCCCTTCACCGCATCGCCAGTTGGGCTAGATCTGAACCTAGCTTGTCTTGGGATAATTCTGACCTAGCAATTCATACCCAAAATTGTTTGACTCTTTGAGCACGACTATCATTCATGTCCCTCTGGTGGATTCGTGTTCTGAAGGCGAAGTACTCACGGGACAAGTTCCCACAAAGATTTCCCCTTTAAACGAATTTCGATTGAATAGAGCGTTTTGTCTTCGAAAAATGGGGTAGTAGAGAGTGAAAAAATACTACGTTGAGCGCGTCTTGGTGGGGGCATTGCTGCTTTCCACCAATCATTGTCGACGCTTCCTGTGAAGACCTGTAAACTCTCGTAAAGCCATGCATAGCAGGAACTTCGGTTTCAGTTGGCAAGAGTCTGAAAGTCACACCAACTTGTGACATTAGTTTGACAGGAGCTAGCGAAAAAACAAATTAGCGAAAATGCAAAATGCCCCTCCCAAGCCGGACAGCGCTCCTAATCGCCCTGGTAGCTTCTTGAGCTGCAAACTGTCGCTCCATCACTTTACTGCCTCAGAGTCACTTCCAAGTAGATCGTCGTGACATTCATTATTTTGAGTTTATTGCAGAGTGCTGGTGCGAGCATGTCGTACGACGGTTGATGTACTGGACGACCGTGGAAGAACCCCATGTGATTTGAGTTGTGACGAGCAAATGATGCGGCTTACAGCTCGCACAAGTGATCGTGACGCTGATGAGCACCGAGCTTTGCCCAAAAGTAAGCGGTTATCTTTTCAGTCCAATTCTCCTTACTATCTACTTCTTCTTAGTCTATTGCTATTGAGAGTTGAGTAGGCAAAGAATCGATTCAGATGCAGAGGACGTCGAACATGTAACATCAACAGCTTTGTGGGTACTCACGAATGGCGAGACTGTCACGGACGAACATCTGCTAAGGGATAGGCATCCGGCTGAGGGAGAGGTTAGTCGTCAGTGTTTTTTTTCCTGTAACTTCTTTAGTTTTATGTGTTGAGACCGTGGGTGCAGGAAGCTGCATCGTAAAGCTTGAAATGCTAGCCGCTTCCGAAATCCCCTCTTCTGGTACCATCCACCTACCATACTCCCAAACTTTCCCAACTTCCTAGCATTTTCAAGTTTCCTCCCAAAAACTTGTTGAGCCGGGAGAAGGGTATAAAGCGCTCATTTCAGGAAAAATCTGAAAAACTCTGGAAAAATTTCTATCGGCGCTGTGTATAGTTCATTAAATGGGTTAGAATACGCCTTCCCCTTCCCTGCAACAAAGTGCGACCCCGGTCTAATGGATTCTGCCCGACACGTTGCTCTTTTCGTTCTTTTCTGTTGTCTTAGACCATGCCTAGGGTATTGTTCCGTCCTTTTTGGAGTTAAGAACACTTACCTCGTGTGCTCTGTGAGTGATCGTTCCGGTCAGACAGGGGTCCAGAGTGCCGAAGCTTCTTTCATTATTCGCTGCCGGACTGCTTCCGTGTCACCATACTTCCACTTTTTTATTGAGCTACCCAGGCTATTGCGGCATTGACTTTGTAAACAGAACAGAACTTATCCTTTCGCTGGGGATATTTTTTGAAAAATGCGGCTTTTCTTGGAAATCTTTCTTTTCGTACGACCCCTTCCCCATCCCCCATCCTAACTATAATACTATCGTGCCGAATTTTTCCAATTTCCTGCCTTTTTCCGGTTTTTTTTTCCTAATGTTGCCCTCCCCCGCTGATCCCATCCTGCCCTACATTTTCTCCAAAAAGGTGTCGCCAAGCGCAACTGGGAGGAATCGGGATACACCCCACTCAAAGCGGCAAAAATCCAGAAAAGTCCACAACCGGATACCTTCTCCTCAAGAGCAAAAACGACCCTCCAGCGATCAAAGACGCCCACCCCCTCGATGAAGTTCTCAACGCGACGTGCCCTGTAGAGTTACTTTAAAATTCAATATGCCGACGTTATACAAGGGATAGCTAAATTCAGGATTCATGCTCTTCAATTCTCAGCGACGCTCCCAACGATGATCATCACCTCGGTCGACCAGGCACGAGCGGAGTATGTTTAATTTCAGCGATATTTCGAAAGAGAATTCACTCAAGATCCGCTTTCCGTTAAAAAAAGACGCGTTCCAGTCGAAATGGTGTGATGAGCCACTCCATGTGGAAATATCAATGGACACAGATGTTCATGTACCGGATTC